ACGCGTCCCGAGGGCACCAGCTGAGAGTTGAACTCAAACAGACCGGCCAACGCGCCTGTCCACACTTCCACGCCCAACTGCTCTCCAAGGCGCCACTATTCGTTGCTCTGACTCCAAAAGGACCCAACACGAGCACTACCCCATTAACAGCATCGCATGCGCATCATTGCCTACTTCAGGAAGCCAACAGACGGCGTCCATACCAGTAACGTGGGATAATACAACAAGCTTGCCCTTAAAGCTTCTTTAAATGGCCCTACCTCGTCTACCGATAATTAAAATTTTTCAAGCAGAGCACGATTTTAAGATTATTTGATCATTTGAAGGCCTAATATGCAAGTAAATGTGAGAAAAGCGCACTATTGAGAATGAAAGAGGAATCTTTTAGGTTCCAGGGACACAAAACAACGTTTCAACAACCACTGCAATTTCATAACGAAATGACTTACATAGAGACATGGTTAAGTTGTATAAAAGGTACTACATTAAAACGTGAGACAAACTTACGACTTAACGCCAGTTGCTGAAGTCACATGTTCCACAAGGGAAAGTACTCCCAAAAATACTTCAAAATATCTCTTCCAGGATACTTTCGTCCTCTCAACCTTTCGCACACGGTGACTGCATTCTGGAAGTTAACTGCATTTAGCATTTCACAATACCTTCAGTCCTCTGACAAATCAAACATTTGCCAGAACTATGTACATTCGGTTTAATATGGAAAGGAAGAAACTGGAATCACCCACCTTTACCTCCTGAACCCTTCTCTGATCTTCAAGTTTCAACTACCAAAAATTATTTATACCATTTGGTTAAAAGACTAAATTCCTTGAAAAAGTACCTGCATTCGTACCAAATGTTCATTTATCCAGTGAACACATGGGGCTGAACAAGAGCCTCTACCCTTAACGGGTCCATTGTAGTGGTGCCTTTACAGAATGGATGACTTGGTTGATCGCTTTTCGCACATCTGGCTTGATATTTACGGTCTGAATTCAGTAGGGCAAAGAGCAGGAAAAACACCACACCAAAGCGACTTTGAAATTACCACCTGTGCCTTACAAATTTATTGGCCGATTCGAAAGAACCGATTATCATTCGTGACTTATTTACTTACCATTTTTGGCTAGAAACTCTACAAATTTTCCTCAAGCGAGCACAAAATTATAAATACTCCTCAGCAATCTGCTTGGACATGTGTAATTTTTAAGTACAAATCTTTATGAACGATACGTCCAATCAATCTACTAACAATTTAAATGGAAGTATGTTAATTCAATTGACAATGAGAAATGTTTGAACTATTTGTTAACGCAAGGATTTCGGTCTATTTTGTAAGTTACTAATTTAGAGCCCTTTCATCGTGGCAAATTAATAAACACTTTTCATGCTTGACCTATTGCAACTTACAGGGCATTTAGTTAGGACGA